TGAAACTCAGAACTTCTTCTGGGCGATCGAAACTACGGGCCACCGGTTGATATGTGGGGCGCGGGATGTATAATGGCTGAAATGTGGACGCGATCACCGATTATGCAAGGTCGAAACGAACAACAGCAAATCATTCTTATTTCACAGCTTTGTGGCTCCTTCACACCAGACGTAAGCACTTTTTCATTCAAATTTATGGGATTCAAACAGAGTCCAATCGATAAACATTAAAAAAATTTCATCTCTCCACATTTTCCAAAGGTTTGGCCGGGCGTACAAGACCTTGAATATTATTCCAAAATCGAATTGCCATTAGGACATAAGCGAAAAGTGAAAGATCGATTGAAAGCCTATGTAAAAGATCCGCATGGTTGTGATTTACTCGACAAACTGTTGCAATTGGATCCAAAATCCCGATATGATGCCGATGCTGCACTGAATCATGATTTCTTTTGGTCGGATCCAATGCCATGCGATCTGGGCAAAATGTTGTCGCATCATTTGCAAAGTATGTTCGAATTTTTGACGCCACAAAGACGGCCGGGACAACGGCCATATCAACAAATGAACCCAAATCAAATGCCAAATCGTACACAAGACAACAGCTACGCGGATCGGGTCTATTGAAAAGAAGAAAATCTATCATCAATTCACATGGGACTGAACTCAATGAAAAGATATTTGGTTTTTTAAATATGTAAAAAATTTTTTTTTAGAATCGATTATTATAAGCAGCAACAGGAATTTATCCATTTTTAACATTTTACTATCACGTCCACCAAGCTCAATTCAAAATTACATCAATATATCATTCCAATCACGCACACATCTCAATTATATTTAATTTATTGATAAATGTTATGAACTTTGATACTTGAAATATTGATCCAAATGACCGTGTGGTTGTAATGGCAAAGAAACTTATTGAGGGGAGAAGAAGAAAGTATTACAATTTAAAAAAATTTATGTCAATGCTCGAAACGAGACGTAGATTATTTCATCTAAGGAGAGAAGAAAAAGTGAAAATATTTTTTTTTTTTTCAAAAGTCACATTTTAATCTGAATATTT